TCTTTTTTGATTATACATTAATATTCAAAAAGATTAAAATTTAATACTGGAAAGATTATTTCGAATTTAATCATGCATGACTACTGCCGAAGTAATCATGGCTCGGAGTCAATAAAGGTGAAGCGGGAATCTGTATACTATTTAAGCTTTTTTGATTTAATTTATCTTGGAGTGCACACTTTACTACCCCTGTAGGGTGGTTTTGCTCCTCCGTTTTTGACATCATTAGAAGAGGAAGGGAGACAAACTAGTCAAAAGTAGGTAAAAATGAACTGACCGTTGGGAACTTTTTTCAGGATTACTAGAAAAACTAAAGCCCTCTAGTTAAGGCCCAAGCGCAATGACGGCGGAATCGGAACGGCAACGGCAGCGAAAAAGCCCGATCTGAGTAAGCCTACTTGTCGGATTGAAAACTAGTTAGATCCAAATCGACTTGGGCTAGGCATCTTGATATCATTTGTGACAACTGTCAAACTTTCCGTTTCCGTTCCGCTTTCGCCTAAAGAGCCTATTTAGGCTCTTTACTTTTGCCCACATTGCGTTTGGGCCTTTAGGGTATTGTCGCCGCCAAAAGCTACTTTCTTCTCTGGTTAGGGAGAGTCTTTCGCTTACTAGGTCAGTCACTGTTCCTCGATTCTAGCAGCTACTTTTTTCTCCGGTTAAGGAGAGAAGTTTTCACTTCCAAGTCAAGAGTTCTTCTAGGAGCTACTTTTTTCTCCGATTAAGGAGAGAAGTTTTCACTTCTAGGCCGAAAGTTCTTTCGGATTCAAAAAGAGAAGAATCTGGAGTAACATACGAAACTTAATTTTATTCAACAAATTTGTACAAAGTGATCTTACGGCTACGGGTTGCATTAGCAACTTATAATTATGTAAAACTTTTACATGATTTGTCCAGGGTTTAAAATATCCCTTTCAATACCGAACTTTAACCTAATTTGCCTATTCCAATTAGCTAGGATTCTGATCGCCCTTGAAAGGGTAAATTTGTGTTGTTTAGACCTTATATACTATGCCCTCTCAGATCTGGGATTTCTCAGATATCTTGTAAGTTCATTTATTTTCGTAACTCAGATCTGATATGGCTCTACAAATAAGAATGAGACATTTGTAACGTTTAAACATTATAATTATATCCTTCGTTAAGGATAAACAGAGAGGGAAAGCTAAACGTAACCTAGATGCGCAAGCATGCCATGCGTGGGCGTGTTTATCCTAATAAAGTCCTACTTGAACGCAGAAACGTTCCTAAGTAAATACTGCAGTTAGATTATGGCCCTTATTACCGATGTCACTTCACGGTGTAGTGATAACTTGTCACTCACGGTGAAGTGATTCCCATTTGATTTACACGGCAATCACTTCACCGTGAGTGACAACTGGTCACTTCACTTCGTTTTCACCGTGAAGTGACACCCGTAATAAGGGCCTATGTAAAACGAGCTTTCGCTCCTTTTGCCCTACTTTTCATTTCATATCAGTGCTAACATTTGAAAACGGCACAAAAGCCATTTGTAAACAAATGGTTTTTGGGCCCTTTACTCACTACTTGAAGTACACCCACGCGACACAACAGCAACATCGGGTAGGGGAAATTTTCCCCTTCCTGACGATGCTGTTGGTTTGCGTGGGCGTTCTTCGGGTAGCGGGTAAAGGGCCCACAAACCATTTGTTTACAAATGGCTTTTGCGCCGTTTTCAAATGTTAGCACTGATATTCTTGGCCTTCACTGAAACAAATCGACATGTACCGTTCATTGGATGCATCTTATAACATAGCAATGTCAGCAGATTTATTCATTCTATGTGATGATTGATATACTCCACTGGATTATCACTTAAAAACTATGACTGCGATATGGAATGATTTCTATCGTAATTGTACATACTTAGTACTTGATAATACTTTGCTTCGAACGTGTTTAGCGATAGGTAAGATGTATAAGAATATTGTCTGATATATTTCATGGTGAAAAACTGTTGATATGTCATGGGTGGGAACAGACATATAGAAACTAATGGAAAATCATATAAGTTTGCACTATGAGAAAATTTAGTAAAATATACCTGTTTTCATGATGAATATTGCTCACTAAAAGACATATCTTATAAGATATTTATGTTTATTTTATTGGAGATGCTTTTAACGATTTTTGACGTTTGTTGATATGTCGCGTGTAAACAGACATGTAGAAACGATTGGACTGTCATTTAACTTTGCAGTATAGGAAAACATGTATATCTCATTGGAATAGCTTCCTTTGATGTTTGACGTTTAAAGATTGTAAACAGATCTATCCCAATCATTATATAGTCATATAGATTTGCCTTTCAAGAAATCCAACAGCAAACATTTGTATTGGCATGTTTTTCTGGGATGAATATCGCTCCCAATAAAATACATCTTACATGATTGTTCTTCATATATCATTGAAACAATTTTCAACGATGTTATCGTAAACTCATTTAAATGATTAGTCGAACTAAATATAGCTAACAACAATGATACTGTATTGAAGAATCCTTCTTTGTTATTGTTCAATAAGATAAGGGGTTCCGGAAAAGAATGTATTGAGATTGAAAAAAAATATTCTACTACAATATTTAATTTGCTAAGATTCTAATTGTAAGCCTTCTACACACACTTAGAAATTATCGCCGACTTCGGTTATTTTTACCGAAATCTGAACAGCTAACATTTTCGGTAAAAGCTACTTTGAAACTAAATATCTACTAAAATGACAAGATTTGATCATTTAAACAAGGTTGAACATGTTTTGAAACTATTTTCAAATTCAATTGCCTTTAAAATGAAGGTCAAAGTTTTATCGAATGTTCAGTTGTTCTGATTTCGGTAAAACTCGAACTTCATGAACCAGTTCCATATGTACATGTTCTAGTTCATATAATGTAGTCGTTGTTTTATTGCACACAGGAGCATTAAGAAAGATTTGAACAAACGACACCACCGAAACGGAACATAAATTTGCCAGTGCTATTTTTCTTCACTCTAGCAAAACGAGCATAACGTTGTACTACATTCCATGTCGGGAGAGCTGTTCTTACTTCATGCTAATTGAACGAGTTCAATCTTGAAGTCAGCCGTGGCCTAGTGGAATCGAGCGCAGACACCGAAAGCATCACACCTCAACAGTTCTTGATCGAATCCCAAATCAGCTACAATAAAAAAGGCACAACTGTGAATGCTCCCACTGCCTGATGTTTATTTTTCGATTTATTTTTAGAAATCGATTAAATATATGTGTCAAAAGAAGTAGTAAATTTCATGTGATTTTCACATAAACTTTACTTCGATTGATTTATGACACATATATTATATTGTGCTGAAAAGTAAAGCTTTTGCTTATGGGTTTCAAATCCATTTCAGTTAATTATTGTAATTTGACCAATTTTCATTTATCATATGACGATCATATAAATGTTACCAAATTATCAGCATTGTAAATGTATCAGATATTCATATAGAATTTACCTGACACATTTTCAATCATATCATTTTCATAGGATTATCTTATAGCGCAAATTTATTAGACTTCCACATAACAGGAATATGTCATATTGGTTCAGTGTTGGTATCAACGTCAGCTAGGGCTATGCAAACTAGATGCAACTATGTGGTTATATTATGGTTTTGGTTTTAAATTAATTGCCTCGCGGTAACAGGTATGGACGACTGTTACCACAATCAATCAATCTGTTACCACAAAACTGAAAAAAAAACTGTTCCATTCGAGCTGAGCGGTACATTTTGACGGTTCAATTGATCACTTTGTCAAGCAGTTTTGGTGTGACTTTCTATCAGCGATTTCACAAAACTGGACCAACTAATTTCTATTTTTTTGTTAAACGCACAAATGTTGGCTATTTTTTTCGAGGTTCTAGAAGAAAAAATCTCATAATGTTTCATTTCAAAGTTCGAGTGGTAGTAAACGTCATTTTATCTGCTCGAATGAAGTGGTTAATTAACAACTTCATTCGAGCAGATGAAATGACGTTTACTACCACTCGAACTTTGAAATAAAACATTATTTCGAGACTATTTCTTCTAGAACCACCTAAGAGATGAACTAGCCCCAGGCTAAAAATCTCTATAATAAAGACTAAAAAAAAAAATTCTAGAACCACCAGATAAGTAGCCAACATTTGTGCGTTTCATAAAAACATAGAAATTAGTTGGTCCAGTTTTGTGAAATCGCTGGTAGAAAGTCACGCCTAAACTGCTTGACAAAGTGGCCAAATGTTGGCTACTTTTCTCGAGGTTCTAGAAGAAAAAATCTCAAAATAATGTTTTATTTCAAAGTTCGAGTGGTAGTAAACGTAATTTTACCTGCTCGAATAAAGTGGTTAATTAGAACTACTTTTGATAGACATCCATACTTTTACTGTAGGACTTTAGTAAAAGCTGTTATTGGCGTTGACGGCGACTCTGTAGCTCTTAACTCCTATGAGAAAATCCATAAGCAAACGTCAGACTGTGCATGAAACATGGCGGACTTTGTACTATCCTTTCACTCCACCGAAAATTCCCATAAGAAACTATCTAAATTTGCTGGAAGAGCAAATTTTTCGACGGTGCCGTCAACGCCAATTCGAGCAAAGCTGGGCATTTTGACGGTTCAATTAGTTTACTTTTGACAGACATCCATACTTTTACTGGGCCTTAGGCTGTGTTCCATTTGGAAAATTTTCACTTAGATTTGACACTTCGAAAATAAATTAAGATGTTCGAAAGTCCCTCTGTTGTTGATCGGCCGATTTTCGAGAAAGCGTCTGTCAAAATTTATTCCTTGTCTGTCAGAAATAAGTCTGCTGGAATAGCAGGTTTATTTGAAAATTTTCCATCTGTCAAATTTAAGTAAAAATTCACCAAATGGTAAAATAGTAAAAACTGTTACTCTGTGGGTGATACGAAATAACCGTGTAGAAAAGTGTATGCATGCTGAATGTAAACAATGCATATGCATTGTTTACATTCGGCATGCATTCACATTTCTGCAGATCCTTTTTAAATGGAATAAATTATTATTGCTCTGCATCATAGGTATCTGGTAGCATAATGCGTTCAATTCAATTTACTAATTTAATCCATAAGAAGTGTTTCGTTTTCAAATGAACCACTGCAACTGTGCAACCAATGAGTAAAAGCCCGTTAGATATCCAAGCCAAAATGGTCGAATGTGGAATCTGTTCTGAGGACTACAAGGAGGGTGATTTGGAACTGCATCGGGAGATGTGCGTGGTAAGGTTGATGTTCCGATGCTCCCTATGTGACGGGGACTATGTAAGCAAGGAAGGACTGTGGAATCATTTGGATCTGCACGAGGTAAGAAGAAGTCAATGATGCATTCGATATTACCGATCCATAATAACATGGTGTTTTCGTCCGAAAGATAGCAGATGAAAGTAAGGAATTGCACCATCAGGAAATAAAAGCAAAACACAAATTGCATCAATGCGTTCTGTGCAATGACCAACGAGCTTATTCGGAGAGTCCCTACTGGAAGCACATCCACGTAAGTGATGGATTTCAATACAAATAACATAATACATAAGGTATGTAGAATAATTCGATTGAATTACAGGACATTCACGATGGCTTCTTTCTACGGTGTTCTGATTGTGGGGAAAACTTTCGATCCGAATCGCTTCAGAATGATCATGCCTTGAGTCAGTGTATGGCCAGGAAGCAAACGGAAGATGGACAAGTTCCTATTGAAGTTGAAAATATGACTTCTGATGCTGGACATTCGAAATTAAAGCAGAAAAAGAAGAGCAGCAATGAAAATAAAGTACCAAGTATGCGATTGAGAGTCAGGCCGAGTCACAAGAGTTCTGATGAACTTATCCTGAATGACAGGAGTGACCCAACAGTGGTGGCAAAGATTTCTTCGAGTGAAGCTTCCTGCACCAAATGTTCCCACTGTGGAATAGAAGAGTCCAGCGCCGTCACCCTAACTCATCACATTCTCAACCACCATGAGACAGTCGCATGTGATTTCTGTGGACATAATTTCTCCAGTCTTTCTCAGGCTCAGCATCATATGGTGTGTAAACTGAGTTTGTGTTCTTTAATTTCTTTTTGTACAGTCTTTATCGTCCAATACAGACAACGCTGCACAAGAAATCGACGCTCAAATGCCCACATTGTTCGATGCAGTATACCTGGAGAGTGTCCTTTCAACGCCATGTATTCGAATGTGAGAAGAAAAAACTTCTCTGCGAGGGTTGTGGTGCCATTTTTAAAGATAAAGATGCTATCCGTAGACATAAGAAAAATTGTTGCCGAGCATATAAATGGTGCAAGGAGCAAGAGCAGACGAGTTTGCCTCTTGTTAAAAGCGGCTTATCCCAAACAAAATGTGGCTACTGTAACGAAGACTTTTCCAGTCCAGGGCATTTAATTCGTCACTTGCAAATTGTCCATAAGCTGACCAAATGTGATATCTGCGGTTTAACTATTCTTGGTATATCAGTAATCAAAAATCATAAGGTATGTTACACTTCTTATTCTCAATTGCTATCAGGCTTGGTTGAACATTCAATATATTTCTAAGAATCAGTCATTATTTTAATGAAGTTGAAGTTTCTGCCATGTAGTTCGGTATAACTTTCTTAGTTATTAATGAATAAGGTGTCGCTAATCTGAACGGCACTTCGTGCCTATTAACGGGATTAATTTTCAATTTGAACTTCTAGTAACCCTATCAGCATCAGAAAAGCATGTTTCTGGTAGCCTCATTTGCTAACAGCAAATAAGGTTACCAGAAACTTGCTTTTCTGTTGGTCGTAGGGTTACTAGAATTTCAAATTAAAATGAACCCTCTTAATATGCACGAAGTATCGTCCAAATCGGACAACCATTGCAGGTTAAGAATACATTCTGAAGAATTTTCCTAGGCTATTTTTACGTCTTTTCTGGAACAATAAATCTGCTCTAAATGAAAGGTTTTTTGTACACAGAAAAAAAATTAGTTGATATTGATGTATAGATACAATATAAGAACTTCCAGCACATTTTGTTGTTGCCAGCAAAGCCTGATTGCAACTTTATCTTTCAAATATTTTTATACAGTCTTCATTGTTCAATGCAGATAAAATTCCACACAGAACCGAAATACGAGTGTCCAACTTGTGGGACGAAATTTAGCCGAAAAAAGAAATATGATGCACATTGTTTACTGTGTAAGCAAGGGATGTACTCATGTAAATTATGTGGTCACATGTTCAGACGATTAGGCTCACTGAAACGTCATGATAAGCAATTTCATCCAGATGAGAGCAGTTTGGAAAATCGTCGGTCAGGTCAAGTACAAGTTCAGAGAAATAAGAGATATTTATGTAAAGTATGTGGATGTTCGTTCGCACATTTTCGATCAGCCAAGCGGCATAATAAGCGATGTCATCCAGATGGGTGCAATTTAAAAAATATAGGAATCGCTCAAGATCAAAAACAAGTTCAGCCTAATAATCTGCAAATGGCACGTGACCATCAAGGACCATCAACGGACAATCGATCCTCAAAAATGGGTGTATCAAGTGAGTAAAGTTCGGCTTAAGATAAAACAACGATGAATTACGAATGCATTGGTTCTCTTGTAGATTCTCGATCGAATGAGCATTCATCAGCTTGCTTGAACGATGATGATTTTATGGAAAGCCAAGTGATCGACAAGGAATCCCGGATGGTTTCAGAGAAAACCTCGCAGGTACTTGTTGATAATTCATCAATCCAGGCATATTCGGACAACATCATTGACATTACTTTGTCTAGCTATAGGCAGAATCATATGGTACGTTTGTTATACAGACAAGTTTGTTTTCTCTTTGCAATACAGTTTTTTTTTAAATCCCCATTCTTTTCAGCTGAACAAACACACTGAAGGAAAGTTCCAATGTCCTCATTGTTCGAGGAATTTTTTCTTTAAAAGGTGCTTTGAATGCCATACGTCAAGTTGTGCAGACTTAAAACATTCATGTGAACTGTGTGGTCAAAAGTTTAACCTCCTAAGCATAGTGGAGAACCACAAGAAACGAGTTCATTGTGGCGACGGACCTTTAGGAAACGCGTGTATCATTTGCAAAATTGCGTTCGCCAATACTGACGAACTAATGAAACATAAGGTTTGTGTTTTTTACAGCTTCCGAAACCCATCCCTGCTCCCACAAATGCTGACATTGGAGCTCATTGATCTGCTCGCATACGATAAGGAGCATTTTCTGTCTATTATTAAATGCATAAGCTAAAATTTAATTGAATTGCATCAATTGAATGTCTATTTCAGCCAGCCTGTTCTAAGCAGGCAAAAATGCACGATGATTGTCAGTTCGGTGCAGAGGAAATCTCACTGCTCCATGGTGGTAAGGAAGCCCAAAATAATGATCTCGACCTGGACATAAAAGTAGAGGAAACAGTGCTACATGAACAGGAATACCAAGTTCCAAACGAAGACCCAAGGAGATCCTCCGTCCCAAGTGTGGTAAGTGCTCGTCAGCTTAATGTTTCCCAGATTTATATAATTTTGCTCCCTTTATTTGAACTTATTTGGTTCTAATATGAAACTGGATTGGCAGTTGAATGCATATTATTTATAAATTGATATGGGAGTTGCTATGGGTAAAAAACCTTTAGATCATCAAGGTTGTTGCGTACAACGCCACTGCAACTTAACTTCGGTCGTGACGTTTATCAAGTTGACAACGTCAGATAGCAGAATAGGACAGAAGCATGCCATGATTTGGAAGAATTGGTTCAATTTGTTATTAGCTATCCTAGTTAATCCTAATTTGTCTTAAAACTAACTGAAGTGAGTAAAACCTTATAATCTATATTTGAAGAACAACAATTTAAAAATAAACACTAATTTTGGAAAGCCTCAAGATTTGAAAGCTTTTTGATTAGCACCCACGTCAAGCATTTCTAATTTACAAAATGTTGGAATCTCAGAAACACAGCAACCCAGCAACAAAGGTTCATAGCAACCAGCTCGATTAGTTGCCTGCAGAGTTTTGTGGCAACAACGACATGGTGATCGGAGGTTCGCTCTTCCCCCATCGCCCAGTGCATAAAGCCACATGGGTCTCCCGTGATGGATATACAGAGAACTAAATAAACCACATCTGCATCAGCCGAAAAGGGAGACGGAGCCTTCTTGATGTTCGGAATAAACGAAGCGCTGACATCGCGTCTGACCATCATCTCCTGGTCGTTCGTCGAAGAAACCGAGGCTCGCGCAGCTAATATTCCGGAAGGTGTCAGCGTAGAAGAACAGTGTACGAGCATCAAGAATGCCTTTATTGAAACAAACGAGAACAACCTGGGTGAGCTGCGTACTCAGGGGAAGGAGTGGATCACCGATTAAACCTGGAGGAAGATCGAGAAGCGGAGAGAAGCAAAAGCCGCAATAGAGCGAGCAAGGACCGAGGAGCCAAGAACGAGGCCCGTCAGCGGTATTCGGCTCTAGAGAGGGAAGTTAAGCGTTCCTGTACACGGGACAAGCGAGCGTGGGTGGACTACCTGGCTGATGAAGGGGAGAAAGCCGCAGCAATTGGCGATATCCTTTATGTTTCATAACGCCTGAGCGGGGCAAGGATGAACCCTAGGATGCCAGTGAAAGACGCGACAGGACAGTTGCTCACCGACCCCACTGACCAGTTGAAACGTTGGTTTGAGCACTTTGAACAACTTCTCGAAGTTTCAACGGTCAACATCTCGGCATGATCCGCCAAGGGTGAGGCGCGTTACTCGCGTCAACACTGAAGCTCCATCATTGCAGGAGATAGAAGCAGCTATCCGAAGTATGAAGTCCAACAAAGCCCCGGGGGTCGATCGCATATCAGCAGAGATGCTCAAAGCTGACCCCATACTATCCTCACAAATGTTGCATCAACTATTCGTCAATATCTGGGACACCGTGACTTTTCCGGCCGACTGGATGCAGGGCGTCTTGGTAAAAGTCCCCAAGAAGGGGGATCCAACTGTATGCGACAACTGGCGAGGCATCATGTTACTGTGTATTGTTCTCAAAGTTCTGTGTAAAGTTATCCTCAATCGGATACAGGAGAAGATAGACGCGACTCTCCGACGACAGCAGGATTCCGTGCTGGTAGATCCTATGTGGACCATATTGTCATGCATCATCTTGTAGCAGGTCAATGAGTTCCAAGAGTCCCTGTACTTGGTATTCATTGACTACGAAAAAGCTTTCGACCGACTAAACCACGAAAACTTGTAGGTCGTTCTGAGACGCAAGGGAGTCCCTGATAAGATCGTCAACCTCATCGAAGCGTAGTACGAGGCTTTCTCATGCAGAGTGTTGCACAACGGAGCTTTGTCTGACCCGATTCGGGTAATCGCGGGTGAGAGGCAAGAATGTATATTATCACCGCTACTGTTCCTCATCGTAATCGACGAGATCATGGTTGGAGCCGTTTACCGTGTACCGAACCGTGGGTTGCTGTGGCAGTCTATTACTATGGAGCATCTCAACGACTTCGATTTGGCTGATGATGTTGCGTTATTAGCACAACCGCGCTCTGACATGCAGAGTAAGCTCGACGACCTTGTGGAACGCTCCTCTGAAGCAGGTCTAACCATCAACGTCAACAAGACCAAATCGTTGGATGTCAACACGGAAAACCGTTCCAATTTCACGGTAGCTGGGCAGGCAGCGGAGAAAGTCGAAAGCTTCCAATATCTTGGCAGCCAGATAGCGTCGAACGGCGGCACCAAGAGTGACATAGGTGCACAGATTAAGAAGGTGAGGGCTGCTTTTGCCAGTTTGCGAAATGTATGGAGAGCGAATCAGATCAGTCGACGCACCAAAATCCGAATTTTCAACTCGAAAGTGAAGTCTGTGCTGTTATACGTTAGTGAAACATGGTGTGTATCGGCGCAGAACACTCAGACGCTGCAGGTGTTTATCAACCGATGCCTGCGGTACATAATTCGTGCCTGGTGGCCCCAAAATTGGATCTCAAATTCAGAGCTTCATCGATTGTGCCATCAGAAACTGATAGAGACAGAAATTCGTGAACGGAAGTGGAGGTGGGTCGGCCACACACTACGACGGAGTTGAAACGAAATCTGTAAGCAAGCACTGGACTGGAATCCAGCAGGACATTGCAGCTGAGGCAGACCCAGAGGGTCGTGGCGGCGGAGCCTAAACAGTGAAATTAAGAACGTTGACCGAAATTTGACTTGGACACAGGTCAAGGCCAAAGTTAGAAATCTTTCACAAAGGCCCTTTGCGCCCCTGGAGGTGCGCAGGATCGTTAACTAACCAACTAACTAACTTCACGGTGAAGTGACAACTTATCACTCACGGTGAAGTGATTCCCATTTGATTTACACGGCAATCACTTCACCGTGAGCGACAACTGGTCACTTCACTTCGTTTTCACCGTGAAGTGACACCCGTAGTAAGGGCCAAAGAAAAGAAAATGAACTCTCCCCAGAATCGCTTCATTTCGAGCAATATCATTTTTGTGTAAGTCATTGTGTTTCTTGTTAGGGGCTGTTCATTAACTACGTAGACAATTGTGCATACATTTTTTTTTAAATTTGTATGGGCCGTGGATAATTGCCAAAGCAAAGCTGCCGAAAATCGATATTCGACGTTATTTTGGAATCCAGTATGGCGGCCATCAGAATTCATAAAGTTTCAACTATCCTACAATATGGGTATTTTCGGAACGGGGATGCCGACAATCGATATTCGACGCCATTTTGGAATCCAAGATGGTGGCCATCAAGTTTCAAAAAACGTGTCAATACCCTAAGATATGGGTATTTTCGGAACGGAGACAACGCGTGGCTGCCATAGGGTTTCAAAAAAAGTGTCAAATACCATACAATATGGTTATTTTGAAACAGGGACAACGCGTAGATGCCAAAAATCGATATCAGATACCACTTTGGAATCCAATATGGCGGCCATCAGGGTCCAGAGAGTGTCAGATACCCTACAATTTGGGTATTTTCGGAATGGGGACAACGTGTGAATGCCGAAAATCGATATCCGATGCCATTTTGGAATCCAATATGGTGGCCAACGGGTTTCACAAAAAGATCTAAGCATTTTCGGAACGAGGTCGACGCGTAGATGCTGAAATTCGATATTCGATGCAATTTGTAGGCTATTTGGCACCTCTTCACTTCGGAAGCCACCATCTTGAATTTCAAGATGACGTCGGACATCGATTTCTTTCTTCTAGATGTCAGCCCGATTCCAAAAAACCCACATTGATCGGTATTTGACAGTATTTCATAGTTTTTCTGAACCAAAGCCGCCATCTTGGATTTACAGACGGCGTGACATCAATTTTCGGTATCTACGTCTTATTCCCATTCTGAAAATAACCATATTTTAAGATATTTTAAACTTTTTCGCAATTCGGAAGCCGCCGTCTTGGATTATAAAATGGCGTCGGTTATCGATTTCCGGCTTCTAGATGTTACCCGGATTCTAAAAAAAAACCGTTTGTATTTGATAGAATTTAAAACTTTTTCTCTAACCGGAAGCCGCTATCATGGATTTCAATTTTTTTGTTCGGATATTGATTTCCAATCTCCAGACGTCACTCCGATTCCAAAAATACTCATATTCATGGGACGGCATCAGCATTTCCCATTTTTTCTGAAATAGGATTTAAAAATGGCGTCCGATATCAATTTTCGATCTGTAGACTTCATACCGATTGCAAAAATACCAATATTGATGTGTATTTGGCTGTATTTCCTCTTTTTCGTAAATCGAAAGCCGCTATCTTCGATTTCAAAATGGCGTTGGATATCGATTTTTATCCTCTAGACATTATCCCGATTCCCAAAATACCCTTATTGATAAGTATTTGACAGCATTTCCAACTTTTTCTTATGCCGTTTTCGTTTTTGCGGTGTAGCTACACCGGTGCTACACTGCCGTACACCGAAATAATTTAAGGTGTAGATATAGGATGCACCTTTGTTTACAAACAAATGATGTTGAGCTGTCAAAGACTCGTGCTTATTCCTGCTTACACTACACCGGTGCTACACCGCAAAAACGAAAACGTCATTAAACTGGAAGCTGCCATCTTGGATTTCAAAATGGCGTCACATATCAATTTTTGATCTCTAGACGTCACCCCGATTAAAAAAATACCCAAATTGATGGGTAAACAAACCACCCGACAATGATAAATTCGCCATCCACGTGCACAGATCTATACGCATACGCTTAAATCATAGAGGTAACTCTAATTGCGAATTCGTTTACTATCGGGGTTAACACCAGTTCCAACCCAGTGCGAAACCGAACTTTTTGTCAGTGCGAACCTCAACCTGAGCTAGGTTTTAAAAACAAACGAGCAAACTGACGTTTGTCAGAAAACAAGCAGACCCAATCCTGATACCCGATCCAGGTTGGAACTGAATAATAAACGATTTCGCTATAAGACTAGCAGCTAGCCAAGTCTTAGAGTGTTTGCAGCTAGCCAAGTCATAAGGCGAAGACATAATTAGCTATGGCGGCATGGTGAACAGAGCAGTAGACGATTTCGAATTCCAAAATTGCAAGATCGGCCAATTCAAGTGCTTGCTGTTCGTCTGCGGATTAAAAGCCCCTCGTTATGCAGACATCTGAGCCCGATTCCTTTCTCGCATCGGAAACGAAACGGCAGAAAACCCAGTAACGCTCCAGACCCTGATCGACTAATTTCAACGAATTGTCAACTTGAAAGCGGACACAACGATGATCGAGCAGCCATCAAGCTTGAAACCATCAGTTTGTGCGGTTTTGCAAAAGAAAACTGGTAACTGGCCTTAGCAGCTTTCGATGAACACGATGAACACACGTATAACCGTCCGGGAGGCAGAGTGCCAGCGCTAATCCGGCAAATGCAGCCGAAAACTATGAAAGCGAACGCACGCACAAAACAGAGAACAAACTTAAAACACAACCGTATCCAAAAGGGGTTTGAAACTGCACTCCGAAATAGACCCAAATATCGATAACGGTACGGATCAGCTTTTGTAAACAATGCATTTGATCGTCGATTTGGCGTAACTGGTAGCTCACACACGCTTACTAACACCACTATCAGTTAGGGGAAAATTTCCTTTATCTGATGGTAGTGTTACAGCAAATCGACCAAATCGACAATCAAATGCATTGTTTACAAAAGCTGATACGTCTCTTTGAAAAAGTTATCGAGAAATGATGTTGTTCCATTACTAAGTGGGTCATGCTTTAACAGTAGACATCTCAAGCCTCAGCGTTAAATTCACTATCAATCCAGTTTATTTGCGTCCCCTTAAAAGCAGTGAAAGTTAACCGCTAACTTCATTTCAATTTCACATACAGCATTCGCATGGTCATACATCGAAGGACATTGAAGCTGAAGATCTTGAGAGCGGAATCAAAGTCAACGAAGAATACCCAGAGGACGCAGAGGAGATACAAACTGAACATCAGAGTACAACGAAATCTTCGAAATGCCACGAAGTTCCCAGCGATCGAAACGAGACTCTTGATGCTGGTGATAAACTCTGGCCGTGCTCAATTTGTGGCCATACTTTTAAGAGGAATCACAACTTGAGGTATCACAAGGTTAATTGAAGCATTTTTTTTTATTTGAGAAATTGCACAACTAAAACGTGTTTTTGTTTAATTACAGCTCGTAAGTCATACAGAGCCACGATATAAATGTAACGTTTGTCAAAAGTCGTTTCATATCGTTAGCTTTCTACGTCGTCATTTAAGTAGCTGTTCAAAAATACGATGTGACAAATGCGGTTTAAAGTTTACTACACGTCGTCATTTATGTAAACAATCATTATGATAAGGTATGTATTGAGTGGATTATCATTCCAATCGACTATTAAGTATGTTGTGCTGACCCCTTTAATTTGCAAACCTCTAGAAGCACTGTTGCAAATGCTCATTACAGCTAAAATGCTACTTTTCAAAATCATGAAACTATGAGTTATTCGAGGAGGGCTCACACTAGCGAATCAATCTTCGACAAATCTTCTTTCATTTCTCGCATCTACTTGCATCGCGCATCATCTTTTTGCAGGAAATCTTCAGAATCGTCATTAAGCTTCTTTCTATCTACTCAGCGTGCGCGCAGCTAGCCACAACAAAACACAATCCTTACGGCATCGTAGATAGAGTCGGCCTCATTGGAGTTATAATCGAGGTTATAATAATAATAATTTTTATAATATAACCACTTTCGGAAAGGTGATAGTTGCCCTTATCCGATGATGTTGTTAGTTTGCGTGGGCGTACTTTGGTTCGCGTATAAAGGGCCTTGGAAAGTTTGTTTACAAATGCTTTTGTGCCGTTATCAAATGTTATGCCTGATATTTAAGATGCAATAAGAGGTGGTAAAGTTTGTGTATGACACATAAAGTCTGTCAAGTTTGCTTTGAGAGCGACAAACTTAGCTGTAATGAGCAATCACGATGAGTGAGCGCTCATCGTTATACCTAATCGCTAATCGGTCCTCTTGCTGCATCTTACAATTCTGAAGAACTTTGAGATTTTGGCGTAATTGCTTTTGTAAACAAACACGTCTATCGCCGATTTCTAGCGAATAAAAGCTCAATCTAGTGAAAAAAAACTATACCAAATGATAGAGGAATCATTCATATACCTGATTGGATATTAGTTTTCGAGATTGAGCTTTTATTCGCGAGAAATCGGCGATTGACGAGTTTGTTTACAAAACTAAATACGCCCCAATCTCGAAGTTCTTCGGAAATACAAAATATCGTTACAATATCTCATAGTTTCTTAATTCCGAATAATAACATTTTAGCTGTAATGAGCAATTGCAAGCCTGGCTAAAAGCATTGAAAATTAACCTTTAATTTTATTTCAATTTAACATACAGCATCCACGTAATGGTAAATTGATGGACGTTGAAGCTGAAGGTGCAGAACTCGGAACCGAATTTTATTCATTTAAATCGAAAATTTAAATGTTAATTTTATAAACATATGAATAATTCAAAGTAAATTAAAAACATGTTTTCAACAAAAGTATTTATGTTTGTATTAAATTCAAAAGCATGTTTATTTCAACAATATAGAATTTGGGTAAACGATTTTTAGCATGTCCTGACTTCTTCTTTCCTTCTTGTTGACATAAAATGTAGCTTCAGCTATACCTCGAAACAACCGGAAACATCCCGCAAGCGGCAAAATCGAAGTTAATGATCCGGAAACCCACCTAGGCAAGTGTCCAAATAAACTTCCAGCTCGACAAAACCGGCGGAACCCCACAATATCATCATAGATATGGTAATACCCCTCGAAACATAGGAAAATCCAATAACCTCTAATTTTATCTGTCAAACTTTCATAACGAATCAAAACAAACATTGTGTAGTACTAGAATTTTGACTAGAATGGGGTACGTTAATCGATTTGCTTGGGACCAATAGGCTAGTCAAGTAGTGAGCCAATTGAAAATCATTAGTTTCGTATTGATTGTTGGTAATGGTTATTGGTTTTTCGAGGGGTGAATCGATTAGCTTGGGACCGAAGAGAGTACCAGAGCTGAGCCAAAAAGTTAAGCACGTTATTTCGGGACCTTCTTCTTCTTCTTCTTCTTCTTCTTCTTCTTCTTCGCATTTCAAGCTTAATGCGTATGTATGGCATTATTAGCTTATTGTGTGCTCTCAACTTAGTGTTCTAGATGCACTTCCACAGTTATTAATTGAGAGCTTTCGATGCCTGTACCATTTTTGCATTAGTATAATTGTGTGGCAGGTACAATCATACTCTATGCCCAGGGAAGTCGAGAAATTTTCCAACCCGAAAAATTCCTAGACCGGACCGGGAATCGAACCCAGCCACCTCCAGCATGGTCATGCTTTGTAGCTGCGCCTTTACCGACTGAGCTAACGGAGGCCCTTTTACTCTTATAGTACGTTCAGACTACAGAGTTATAACATGTTATAGCGCTATCTTGATGGTGGTTTCTGTGTTGCAATTAGTTGACAACCGTTATAACATGTTATAACTCTCCAGTCTGGACAGCGTTTTAGAGTTACCTCTATGGTATAATACAGCATTTATTCAATACATATGCTTACTCGTGACTCAGAATTATTGTTTGTTGGGTTGTGCGTCATGAATTCATCGAAGTTCATTCATTTTATTTTCGGATTGTTCTGAACCCCGTAAATCAAAGATAATAAGGATGAAAGTTGGAAAATTTGAAATTGATTAGAAAACACAACCGCCAATAATGGTGTTGTGTTTTGTAAAAAAAAAGGAACATATGAAATTCATGTGTTTAAGCAATTGTTGATCCTTGGTTTCGTACAGTTCATCTTAATACCCCGTACGGACTATGGCTTATATCATGTAATATAGGCTGTCTTGCAATGAGCACTCATACATAGAATTTCCAGTGAAAACTGGAAGTCAATTTAAGTTAGCGATTGTCCAGTTTATGATGTTACGTAAAAAATGAATTATGTATATAGCTAATAAATTTGTTAGTAGGGGAATTTACGTATTCTCGGCAACCTAAGCAGCGACCTTCTTTCTATAGCCTTTTTCTCTAAGGAACGCACACATATGCAGTATTGGTTTGTTTACAATCTTTTGCTGCCAGCTGCTCTAACAATTTCAGTCGAAAGAATTGTCAAAAACTGTTTTGAAACGCTTTTACAAAGCTCCAATCTTCTCTAGTGAGAGCGAGTATTGTCGGCAACCAGTTTTTCTTCGGCAACCGTTCCATTTGAACTGCATGTAAATCTGCTGTTCTATTATCGGCAACTCGAAATCAGCTACAATTTGTAGTGCGTGTGTTGCATTTCAAGAAAACCTTGCTAGATTGCTTTTTCTCAGTGGTAAAAATATAGTCAAATTGAAGCTGAAAGCATAAAGAATCGTTTGCATGCATTCAGCGAAGTGTTTTCGAAGAAAATCCAGTGAAAATAGTGTTTCAATTTGTGTTGCCGAAAATAGTCTGTCATGACGAAGCCCTATTAGTTCTAAATATTGCGCATTTTGAATCAAATTAGACTCATGTGCAAAAAATAATTGCACAGTAATATTTTCGCACTGGCCAGAAAACTCAAAAATCGACTTATTTGAAAGTAGTTACAGCTTTAGAACATTACTAGCTTAAGCTACACTGTTGAATTAAAGTCAATGAAAGCCATCGGAAGCTCCATATTTAACTTTTATGACCAGTTAACTAATATTCATATGATGATGATGATGGTCCCACCTCTTACCCCTACAAAGGTTTGAGCTGGACGATTTATCTTTAAGATAATTAAATATAAACATTTTAACCAGGTTAGCAAACAAAAACGAGCTGGTTACAGTTACAGATATAAATTCCCTCTAGACTTTACAGTTGCTTCACAGCAATATACATAAATGTGAAAAAGCTTAGGCGTCCACCTCTTAGTTCGCCTTTTTGTCCACCTAGAATATTCATAAGTATTACAAGCAATCAAGAGTTAATGAACAATCAACAAAGCATCCTATACACTAGCAACCCCGCAATGATGCTATTATAATTTTCAGCAATGTCAGGAATGCTCACGAACCCCCGACATTCAGCCAGAAAACTTAATACTAACTCAAAGTATCTTCCAAATAAGCTTCAAAGTTGCATTTTTTTTATCAAATGTTAAATTCAGTCCTCTATATCCGTAATACGCGCGCGAGGCTCAAACCTTTGTAGACTACTACTTTTTTTTTTTTTTAACTACTACTTTAATTCAAATATAAAAAAAAAATCCATCATCACCATCGTGGCGAACAAAATAGTTTTTGCAGTGCTACAATAATTATTAAAAAGTCGTTATGACAGCTATCCATACAAAATAATCCGTTATAAATAACTTCGTCAAGATACATACTTCGTCCATTCATAAAAAAAAAAAAATAAAAATCACTGGATAACTGTTCAAAAGACAGTTTTAACGTGTGAAATACAATGTCTCTTGAATTCTGCTAATGTTGTTGCACGTTTAATATGTCTAGGCATCGAATTGAAAACATTTACTCCTTTAAAATACAATGAATTCTGTGAAGCGCAAGTCAAGAAATGTGGTGTTCTTATTTCATCCGCGTTTCTAGTATTATATCTATGAAAATCACTTCCTCTTTCAATTCGATCACACAAATATCGAGGCAGCAAACCATTTACTACTTTAAAAATGAACACCATAGTCAAATAAACTATTCTTTGCTTCACTGACAGCCATTTTAAAGCGTCCAGCATCAAAGTTGAGGAAGTGAATCTATTACATCGCAAAATCAAACGCATTATTTTATTCTGCAAACGCTGTAATCTCGATATTTGTGTTTCATTGGCTAGAAATAAAATGGATGGGCAAAAGTCTAGATGAGGAGAGATGATTGATTTGTATAGCTGTATTTTACTGGCAATAGTTAAATCGTTTTTCAGTCGACATAGAATTCCATACTTCTTGGCAATTTTCTTGATGACATTGTCAATGTGAGAGTTGAACTTAAGTTTGTCATCAATAATCACGCCAAGATATTTAATCTCCCGAACGCGATCAATATCCTCATCATCAATTACCACGGAGACATTATCATTTACTCGGTTCCGCGAAATTACCATGAATTTAGTTTTACTTGTATTTAATTTCAACTGCTTACACTTCAACCATCTACTTAGAGAACGCAAATCTTCATTCAAATGTGAGACGGCAACTTCTAAATCCTTAGCTGCAATGAATAACACAGTATCATCTGCAAAAAGATTAATGTCGCAAAATCGTAAAACGCGTCGCAAATCATTAATATACATAATAAATAAAAGAGGCCCTAATACACTTCCCTGGGGCACTCCAAGGTTATTCCCCACGGGACTGGAAACAGAATCATTAAAAACAGTCCGTTGAGTTCTGTCAGATAAATAGCTTTCAAACCATTTATAAGCAGTACTCGTAATTCCAAAGCGCTTGATTGTACTTAACAGTAAGGGCCTAGAAATTGTTTCAAAAGCGCGTTTCAGATCCAAAAAAACAGCAACAGTCGTATCTTTACGCTCCAAGTTGTCTTTCCACTTTGCTAACACCAAATTCAACGCAGTTTCACAGGAATGACCTTCCCGATATCCTGATTGTTCTGGTATCAACAAAGAGTTGCTATTCAAATACTCCAACAGCTGGCCTTTAACAACAAGTTCTAAAATTTTCTCTAATGTGTGCAACATGTTGATGGGACGAAACTCTTCGGCTTTAATCGTTCCAGCAACTTTTTGAATAGGAACCACTAAGGATTCCTTCCAAATTTGTGGCACATGTCCAGTCTGCAAAGATTCATTAATAAGGTCCAGCAAGATGTGGCCAATGACATGAAAGCAATCTTGAATAACTCTAGAATTAACATTATCTACTCCAGCCGATTTTCCTAATGAAAAGCAAATAACTCTAAGTTCATCTAAAGTAATTTGGTGAAAACCTTCAAATCTACAACTACTATTAACTGGCTGTTTTATTTCGTCAGGTTCATCGACCAATTCAATGGATTGATTAATCAATGAAACACTTTCGACAAAATAATCATTAAACATAGATGCAATTACTGGTTCTGACTGTTCTAATGTGCCATTAAAAGTTATGGACCGCGGTTTGCAATTACTAGGTTTTAATAAAGATTTCAAAATTTTCCATAACTCTTTGCTGTTGTTTTGATGCTGATCAATCTTCCTCTGGACATATTCACAACGAGTTTGTTTTATCGATTGTGAATATTTATTACGCGCGATTGTGTACCTATTCCAATGATTATCATTATTTGATCTGCAAAACTTTTTGTACCATTTGTCCCTCTTACGTTTAAGACGCAAAAGTTCCAAATTGTACCAGCTGTTCGAGTTTTTCAAAGAAACAAACTTTTGCTCAACTAATTGATTGGTACACGTTTTCAAAGTGTTAGTTAGAACAGCTGCAGATTCATCTAAATTACCGGCCGCGAATGGAAAATCCACGCTTCTCTCAACAAGATTTGAAACAGCCTGTTTCGAATATTTCCTCCAGCACTTCAATTTGACTAAGTCATCGTTATTAT